CTGGACCACCACCTCCTGAAATTAGAGTCGTCACCCCTGAAAGATCTGAGCATCACCACAATTTCTCTGCAGAGAAGCGCCAACATACCCTTCTGCGTCTTCTTCCTCTGTCAGATCCTCATTATCTCCACAAACACCCTGAGGGACCACATCACAGACATTAGAATTACGGCTTTGACCCTGGATATTCTAAGAGACACTAGCCTAGATGCCCACCTCATCCTGAAAATAGGGTCAATTCTGAACATCTGAGCATCACCACAATTTCTTTGCAGAAGAGCACCAACACGAGCCTCCTCATCTTCCTCCTCCACCCAGTTCTCATTATCCATCCCCTCCTCCTAGTGGTCCATGCCCTCCTTCCAGGGGATCTCCCCCTCCTCATCCTCCTCATGGTTGTGACCATGATCACAGACATCTTTTTATACACTTAGGGGGTCTAGCAATTCTTCCCAGGAAAGAGGAAATGAGGCCAGTTCCTCAGAAGAGCACACTTCATCCTGTCCATAAAAACACGTTGGATCCATTGACTATATTCTAGCTTTAAATCAACATGAGGTCTTCCAAGTTCCTGCTACAAAATACCCTAAGGAAGTTAAATATTGTGTAATTGACTAATTGAATAGTCGATGCATTTTTGCATCAACTATTCAATTAGTCGATAGGGCGGTGCTGCCCCTTTGAAACGCACTTGTGGTGTTTCAAAGCGGCAGCACACCACGGAACCCAGGGTCAGCTCCCAGCTGATCCCAGACTCCACATGGTGCTGCCCCTTTCAAGCGCCACAGGCATTTCAAAGCAGCAACGCTGCATTTCAAAGAGTAGCTGACCCTGGGTTCCTACAGCACTGCCCCTTTGAAGTACCCTCTTCTCCCCCTCCCACCTGGCTTGCTGCCTCTATTTGATAGAGGCGGGGGAGAAGGAGACTAGTGAACTATCCAATAAGCATTGGCTCGACCATCCACCAGCGCCATGATCCATTTGGCAAATGTGTAAGTGAGAAACCAGCAATTCTGCCTTTTCCACAAGCTCCTTCAGAATCAAAATCATGCCTAGGAAAGCCCAAATATGATCTTTTGCCTTATTTTCCACCTGTATCTTCACAGTAAATGTTTTCCCTCTTAATTGAAATACTCATCATTCCAAGCCCTCAATCGGTGTAAAATGGTCTCATGCCGTTGACTTCAATGGTGCTATTCTGGTTTATACATAGCTCCAAAGATAGAACATGGCAAAAGAAAATATCCTAGCAATGAATGTTAAACTACAATCTTTTGTAGTGAAAACTACAATACATGCTTCTGTACGGAACACTGTTATGACGAATGCACCTATTCCAAATTCATGCCAATATAGCTCTACAGTTCATCACGCAGTCTGTCTTCCATATGCACTGACGCCATGGCTGCACCCACGGAAAAAAGCTAATGGGTGCTTAGCACCCACCAGCAGCCAAATTCCCCTTCCTTCCTCCCCAGAGCCTCCTGTCTTCTGGTGGCCCTGCCAATCAATTCCACCCTCCCCCTCGCAGCACCTCTTGCCTGCCACAGAACAGCTGTTCTGCAGCATACAAGAAGTTCTGGGAGGTAGGGGAGGACCAGGGATGGGGCATGCAGAGAAGAGGGGATAGAATGGGGCAGGGTAGAGGTTTGGGGGAAGGGTGGAGTGGGGTGGAGGTGCTCCCTGGGAACCGAGGAGGGAGGGCTGAGCAACCCTAGGGAAAGTTGGAAGCCAAAATGTGAACACTTCACAAAAGTTTCATAACTTACTAAGACTCACAAAATGGTGAATAGCTCAGGGATTACTACTGGGGAAGAGCTTGCCCCCCCCC